CGCTTCGCGTAAAGAATGTGGCAACATATTCGATACTTAAATAGAACGCTTCGCTTTGATATATTTGTCGCTGAAACGCAGAGCTATAAGCGATAAGCAGAGAGCTCGCCGCACTTAACTATACTCAATACTATTTTTGTCGCTGCTCATAATTGTTATAATAAGTTTTTCTTCTTCCTTCCACGCTCTATTTTTTTTCTCAAGCCAAGACGATAATTTTTGTAGCGATATAGAAATAGAAATTAATAGATACCATAAAAAATTATATGGAAGTAGAAATTGATACCATAAAAAATTAATTCGTTTTCGTGTTCTTTTCATGTGTCTGGTGGACGAACAGCTCATTCAGTGTTTAAATTACCTTTAAATTTATCAACCGTCGAGCATCCTACCTGCAGTATTTCCAGAAGCTCACACAAAGCTGATGTTCTTAGAAGATGTAAACTAATAGTTTGGGATGAGTGCACTATGTCACATAAAACTGCTTTAGAAGCCCTGGATATCACTAAGCCCTGGATATCCTTTTAAAAAACAACCAATGTATGGGAGATGTAACTTTAGTTTTATCTGGTGATTTTCGACAAACACTTCCTGTAATGCAACGTGGGACGAAGGCAGATGAAATACATGCATGTATAAAGTCATCTTGCATTTGGACAAATGTTCAAAGACTGCGACTGAAAACAAATATGCGAGTTCATTTAACAGGACAAGTCTTTGCACAGAAATTTGCCAACAATCTTCTAAGACATGGAAATGGTGATATTAGTGGCGATGAAGAAGGGCTTATAGATGTGGAAAATATTGGAAATCGTGTTGCCACAACGGACGAACTCAAAGAAATGGTTTTTCCTAATATTCATGAAAATTACTGCAACCCTCAATGGCTATGTGAAAGAGCTATCCTTTCTCCAACAAATGATATTGTTAACGTGATAAATAACAAACTTTTAAAGAAATTACCTGGTGCTCTGGAAATTTATCATGTCATGGAAATAGATCAAGTTGTCAACTATCCGACAGAATTTTTGAACTCATTGGAACCACCTGGAGTGCCTGCACATAAATTAGAATTGAAAATTGGAGCACCAATTATGCTTTTAAGAAATTTGGATCCGCCTGCATTGTGTAATGGAACAAGATTGATTGGGAAAAAATTGATGCCTAATGTTATTGAAGCTATGATTATAACAGGACATTCAACAGGTAATAGTGTGCTTATTCCTCGCATCCCCATCATATCTTCAGACATTCCGTTTCAGTTTAAACGACTTCAGTTTCCTGTTGCGATGAGTATAAATAAATCTCAGGGACAATCTTCAAAAGTCGTTGGTCTTGACTTGCAGAAGCCTTGCTTTTCACATGGACAGCTTTATGTTGGCTGCTCAAGAGTTGGTAATGAAAAGAACTTATATTTATTGGCACCAAATGGAAAAACTAAAAATATTGATTATAAAGAAGTTTTACAAGAATAGGAAGAATTATATACTATCTGTATGCTGACTGACACAAGTTTTATTTTATTGCTGTTTCTTAAACATGTTATTAACTGCGTTTTAATTTTCAGCTATTGGCCAATGATGATTTCGAAAGCAACTTTTGTATGCTTTTACAATTTCTGAGGCCTTTTTTTAAAAAAAAACAAGTCTCCACCTGATAGTTATATTATAGGTTAGGTTACCATAGGCCTTAGGTTACCATAGCAAAGTTACATCTTCTAACATCCTAACACATCTGCAGCAGAACTGGATATGAAGACAAAATTGCAGGATAGGAACACTTTAATTGTCCACTAATCTTCAGATTTCCTGCTATGTTTTAAAAAACTTTATTTGTGAAAACCTTTACCGTGGCGGACAACTGGCCGCCTTAGACGGCTAGTATTTTAATAAAATTTGGTAGAAGAATGACCATCTGGGATAGCCAAGTGGAAAGTCTATACCAGTTTTTACGAATTCGTTACTGTAATTCACTTTTATGATATCGTTTCTATATTTTAGTCAAACTTCTTTTTACTCAACGTTTATAAGCGTGTCACATTTTTAGAAATGTGAGTTCCTGGATCCGTTTCGGAACAATTATACACGGTTTAAAAAAAGGTTGGAAATGATCAACAAAAAAAATCAACTCTGTTTGATTTGTAGGTTTACCTCACAGATGGTGCTGTAACCTACAAAATTAAAATCTATACCAAATAGCGAGTTTCGAGACCTATCAGATTAAAAGCTTAAAAATAGCATGTTTTGATTTATCGATTTTTTTAATTCTTTTTCTTTTAAGAAAAAAAATACCTAATTAATTGAATGACTTTTCTTTCAATATAATATTCTCCAGATATTGCCATTTTGAGCAGTTTGTATCTTATTTTAATTTCATCAGTTAAAGCGCCATCTGTGTGAAGCAAAATACATTAGCCTAATGTCAAATTGGAATTAAAATAGGATTCGAACTGTTCAAAATAGTGCTATCACTAGACCCATTATCCTGAAGAAAGATAATAAGAATAAAAATGTTTAAGGTATTTTTTTAAATTTTTTTTAAATCTATAAAAAATTAAAACATCCTATTGTTATGTTCTTAATCTGATAGGTCTCGAAACTCGCCATTTTATATATATTTTAATTTTCTAGGTTATAGCACCATCTGTGAGCAAACTGCATCAACCTACAGACCAAACAGGGTTACTCTTTCTGGAGAACCCGAATCTGCAACAAAAAATAGAGGTTCATATTTAAGACTTTCCTCAATTTCGCTCAATTTCGATTAAAAGTTTCCTCAATTTCGCTCCAAAGAGAGTGGGGTAAAAGATCGAGTTTGGTATCATTGGGAAGTTTTTTAAAAACTATTTTCGATCAGATGTATATATCTCGAGATATTTGACCAGTTCCAAAGTTTATTTACACCCTGTTTATGACAGGCATCTGCTGATTCAATAGCGTGAAAGTAGAAGATTTACTGCTTGCAATTATTTAATACATTTTTTAAAAAAATTGAAACAAAAATCTTTAATTTTGACTTAAAACTATTCTTTAATTTTTATTTATTTTTCCCAAATAGACTTTAAGATATAATTTAAAAGATATACCGCAAGGGAAAAAAATTCTTTAAATTAACGTCTTTGATGCTCGTTAGGTTTAGCGTAACATTAAAGGTATTAAGTGTTCTTTATTTGTGAAGTATAAGAAATCTTACTTATTTGCTTTGTTCGGTATTATACAATGTTTTTCATACAAAATCTATTTAGAGATATCTAACTGGATTTTAATGTCGGTTTTTTAACAGATGAGATAAAAGAAATGTTACGTGATATACAATTAAAGAAAAGCATTTCTTTTATTACTTCAGATTCTATTTCCAAATCAGTATAATCAATCTTGTTGTGATGTATTGCGGGTAATAAAAATTCTTTTACGTATTGAGGTGAGTGAAATTATTCTGTTTGAGTTGAGATACGTTATCACGCATTTAACGAATGCGCATAGAATTTCTTTATATTTATCCTAGATACAAAAAAACTACTCAAAACTTGTTGAAAACATGTTTGCCAGACTGCAATAAATCAAGTAAATTTTAAAACTTTAAAACTTAAAATTTCTAGCGCATTATTACACTGTTATAGGTAACGGGGAGTGTTAAACTATTTTATTTTATTTTACAACCTTAAATGAACAGCATACCCTATTTTTTGAGTTTACGTGTACTGAAGCTCAACTCCGTAGCATTGTAATTTTGAAAAAAATCCGGAAGACATGAAAACTGCTGGATCAAGCATCGGGAGAATTTTGCCTTCGTAGAGGACTTTTTGATGGAACTAATCCGCATTTGGGTTGCATGGAGAGGAAAACCACGGAACCCACCCACGGTTAGCCTGACGGCAAGGGGACTCTGATCCATGATTGGTCCACCACTGAGGATATCTTACGTCAGCACTGTGGTCGGTGCAAGCCGGATATGGAATTCGTATCGACCAGCCTTCGAAGATTCGGACCCGGTTCGTCTCATTGGAAGGCGAACGCTCTATCCTCCTACTCATCACGGCTCAAAATATTTTATTTTTTGCATTTTATATTTGAGCCGCGATGGCTCAGGAGATAGAGCACTCGCCTTTAAATGAGGTGAACCGGGTTCGAATCCCAGTCGATACGAATTCCGCATCCGGCTTGCATCGACCACAGTGCTGACGTGAAATATCCTCAGTGGTAGACGGATCATGAGTTAGAGTCACCTTGCCATCAGGCTAACCGTGGGAGGTTCTCGTGTTTTTCCTCTGCATGTAACGCAAATGCGTGTTAGTTCCGTCAAAAGGTCCTCGACGAAGGCAAATTTCTCCAAATACTGGATACAGGAGTACCCTTGTCTTCTGGATTGTGTTCAAAATTACAAGACTACGGAGTTGAACATTAGTAGTCCTAAACCCAAAAAAAACTGGGTCTGCTGTTCAACGACGGTTATAAATATAAATATATTTTATAACCGTGGCTGAAGAGCCAACCCAATTCTTGGGTTTACGACTACTAATTTTCAACTTCCTAAACTTGTTTACATGAAACTATGGTTCAACTTGAAAGGCTTATGCCTTATTAACACTTTCATCACGGCAATGACACCTGCATTTAGCGTTCCTCCGCAGTACTAAAATAGAAACAAAGCGCAAATTCCTTTAAAAATTATTTATTTTGCTTTAAAAATTGATAATTAATTGCAACTAATAATCACATATTCACTAATACAACTATAAAGCACAGCGAATATTCCTGGAAGACGAGTTATCTCGTCCATTGCGGTGAAAGAGTTAAAGGTTGTAGCAAATTCACAGTATTTTGTGGTTCTAGGTACCGATATAGTTCAGTCCGATACTAGGTATAGTTCAACGTTGAACCGAAACATGATCTAATTTAATGCCTTATTTTCGTTGTTAACAAATTCTCCCCCTATTGCTGTTCTAGGTACTGATATTATGGTTCAACGTCGAGCCGATTATTCTAAAAGTTTATTCTAAAAGTTTATTCAGAATGTTCTTAAAGCCGATCAACAAGTCATTTGAGTTACAAAATTAATTAATTAAATTCGTGCATTTTTTTTTTTTTTTTTTNTTTTTTTTTTTTTTTTAGAAAATGAAACGCATTAAATTTTAATTTCACATTAATTTATCCAAGTAAAGTGCAATTCTATTTCCCAATTTTTCTTCTACTTTTAGGCAACTTAAAAATTACACTTTTTCATCACTTTTCAAGATTTTCGGCGAAAACCTTTATTCCTTTTCCTGTTTTTTACCATAACCTTATCGTGTTACTTTATCATACTTACTCTAAATATAAAATACTAAACTGAACTTTCTAGTTTTTTCAGATTTTAGACCTTCTAAATTATGGATAATCAGAATAAAAATATGATTATAATAGTTAGGTTAGAAATTTGGGGCGTAACCAAAGAGAAGATATGGGGATCATAATCCCCCTGTGGAGTTATAAAATCTCAAATGGGTTATAAAATCTCAAATCAGAGTTATAAAATCTCAAATCTAAAAATCTCTTTCCTAACTCCCTGTGGACTTATAAAATCTCAATCTCGATTCAAATGGATTTAGATTCAATATTGTGATACCGTGACTTAATAATCGTAAGATTAATTATTAATACATATATAACATGCCTCGCACTCTGAAAATGCACCTTTAGTACGTGAAAATCTGAACATTACGTCAAAAATTATTTTTATTTAACATTTTGCCCAACCTTAGTCCGTGATTTTGGGAATTAATTAATATGCAGTCTTAAATAATTAGTATCTTAGGATATGCTTCACATACTGATACTGTCCCTTAGTAGAAATGCGGTCATTAGATAAAAAATTATTTCCATTCATCATTTTGCCTAAACAGTGCCTTATAACAGTACGGGATTTCATGTCTATGCTAATGTGTAGTACTAAATAATTAGTATATTTAAGATATGTCTCACATACTACAAGGTTGCCTCTATGTTCATGAAAAACGACCATGTGGTTAAAAACTGTTCTCATCTATGATTTCGCTTAATTAGTGCAATAACCTGATTTCGTGATTTAAAATGTAGTGCTAAATACTTAACATATTTTAGATACTCTTAGCAAACGAAAATCCTATCGTTAGATTAAAATTTATTTTCATTCATTATTTCGCCGATACAATGCCTTTGTATGGGATTTCGTGACTTCATAATATGCAGTGCATATTAAAGACATTATTAGCATATTAAGCAAATTAAAGACGTGACTTCATATTATTGCACCTTAGTACATATAAAACGACCATTTGATAAAAAAAAACTGTTTTTATCCACCATTTCACCCAACTAGTTCATTAACTTGATTTAATTAATATGTAACTTAAAATAATTAACATATTTTAGGTATTTCACGATCGATTGTGTCTTAGTAATAGAAAATCTGATCTTTAGACAAAAAATTATTTTCATTCATCATTTCACCTATGGAG